AGGAAATGCACTCGTTAAGGCTGTTACACAAACTTTGATCTCCTCTAAGAAAACAAGCTTATATGATCTTTTCATGGGTGGTGTGCATAGCTGAAGTTACGAGGCATTTCTAGATAATTAATGCCTTGTACATTTACCTATATTTAAATCAACTCATTATTCCATTCTATTTAGACAACAGAATAGCAATTTTGATTAGGTATGTAAACTTTACCCATGAAATTAAGCCTGGACTCTAAATAGAGTCCAGTTTTAAATTCACAATCCTATAGAGGAGAAGTTCAAATCAAAACACTTAGAGGGAGCGATCTAATTTGTTATTGGTGTTCAAATCCATCATTGCTGGTCTTCAAATGTTGTGACTCTCCATAGTTCGAGAGAAAACAATTCAGTTTAACCTGTATCTTTTAAAGAGCTTCGTTTAGTTTAACTAAAGGATCCAATTAATGCCATAATATTAATTATCCAATCCATAATATTAATACTAATTCTTCAGGATTCACATGCTGTTATTTCATAACTCAAATTCCAATGGGATTACGGTAACTGCAATATAAGGTCCAAATCTGCCCTGTTCAAAAGCAATACAGTAACTTGTATTTTTAGCATAAAAAGTTTGTTCCAGGACCCCAAAAAAACCTTGTTCTCTGTTGAATAGTTATAGAGATGTAGCTGGGTTAGTCTGGTCTTGCTGAAACAAAAGCCAGGACTATGTAGCACTTTAACAAGATGTTTTATTAGGTGATGAGCTTTTGTGCCCACGAAAGCTCATCACCTAATAAACCTTCTTGTTAGTCTTTAAAGTGCTGCATAGTCCTGTCTTTTGTTCTGTTGACATTCTCTTGCACCAGTGTTAAGTGGTAAAAACAAAACTGCACTATGACCAGGGGCACAGATCTCTTCCCACTAGTCCAGCTCAATCACACACTTGCAACCACATTTCCTGCATCCTGCCTAGGAAACTCTGAAGCACAAGTCATTTCAGCTCACTGCCAAGACACCCATTTGAGTCACTACACTAGGGATGTAACAGTGTAGTCGATTAACTGATACGCAAAGTATATTGGTTAATGCTATCAACTACATGCATTTCCTTCCCTGCCAGTACATTTCTCAGTCCTGGCTTGTGAGGATCCAGGACCTACCCTTGCTGCAGCTCTGCATTTCAAGTGTATTAAGAGCTGAGCAGGTAGGTAGCCCAGCTCAGTTCTGGCTCATGCCAGGTTCAGGAGCTCAGGCTCCTCCCCCCAGGACTACTGCCTCTCAGAAGCAGCAGCACAGGGCAACAGGCAGCTGGTCTGTAAGGGGAGCTAGTTTTTAAAATGGCTCCTCACAGACCAGCTCCCACATGGCAGCCCAAGCTGCTGTCTCTGATACAGTGGTTGCTGGCCCCCGCCCCAGGGACTATAGAATAGTCAACTAACTGATGAAATTTCATGAGGTTACGGACTATTCAATTAACCAACATTTAACATTCCTACACTACACCAGGGCTGCTCAACATGTAGCCCATTTGTTTGCAGCCTGCAGTGCTGTTTGGGTTTTAAGCAGGGCTCAGCTAAGGATGTTAAGTATCAGATAAATGACTAATCAAATAGCTGAACTGTTCAGTTAACAGAAAGGGCTCAGTTAACAGAAAGGGCACCTCTGCCTTTGAAGTGTACCAATAGCTATAGGGCTGTTGGTGGAGCCCGGGGTCAGCTGAGGACACCCCAGCTGGCAGTGGGCTGCATGTGGCTTCTCATAGCAGCAGCCCCCCATGGAGCCCAGGGTCTGGCCTCAGGCTTCAAGTGGTGCTGCCGCTTTCAAGTACCTCCTCTTCTCTCCCCCCGCCCCCCCGCTGCCTCTGACAGTGTTTTGTAGTTTTGCCTTAATCTTTGTATTCATGCCCTCAGTGTGCAAGAAGCCATTTGCATATATTTGTATGTATATGCAATCATACTTAAGTTGTGGCCCCTGGCACATGCTGAGAGTCTCATTGTGGCCTTCAGGGCTTCTGAAGTTGAGTAGCCCTGCACTACTCTATGGTAGTCCAAATGATCATCACTGCATCTATGGTGATGAACTAGTGTGCACAGAGATCTTTGAAGTATTTTGGGCCCCCATGAACTGTGGTGGGGAAGTCTACTGCCTAAAGAGCCTGAATAATTTCAAGGTCATCTATTTCCACCCTTATTGAGGAACATCAACTGTGTGACTTGAGCGCCAGCACTGCTCTTTCCATTCCAAGCCCTGAGCTGGTAGAAGTGAGGATCACACTGAAGTGCTTTGTCAAGTTCCTCTTTTGAGCATGGGATGTTGCTGTTATTTTCCCCACAAGAGCCCACTGCAAAAGTGTTAAACTGCAGCCAATATGGAAGTTGCACAGATGTGCCATCTTTACCTCAGATTTAGTTACCTCTTCTATAATCCAGTCTGCAGCTTTTCCTTCATATCCTATAAAAGATACTCTGGAAACTGGACTGGACTTACTGCTTAAGGATGCAAGAACGGCCATACTGGTCAGACAAAGGTTACTAACTTAGATAGACCAATCTTCCAACAGTGGCCAATGCCAGGTGATTCAGAGAACAAATAGAACAGTGCACTGTGTCAACCAATCCATCCCCTATCTAGGCCAGTGTTTCTCAACCAGTGGTACAAGCACCCTTAGGGGTACTTGAGAGAAGTCAGGGTGGTACATCAACTGAAAATTGGAGCAAACTGGATTTGTTTTAAGCTTTACACCACTTTATTTTTGTACTTTACACCCAGAAGTGTCACCACCTGGTTACAATTAAGTTGTTAAACAAGTGTGTTGCAATAGTAGAAAAAAGTGTATCTGAAAACTGTAGGTACTGGGAGTGCATATAATTTTTGAAAAGGGGTTCTTTATAAAAAGTTGAGAAACACTGATCTAGTCCTAGCTTTAAGTACTGGTTACATGAAGTCAATGGTTGCTCTTCAAAAGAATTTGTGGAAGGACTCCTGGGTTGCTGCTTCTGGGAGGTGTCTCATCTTAGTCTTCAATAATGTTGCTGCTCCTCCCTCTCTGCAGCTCCCCAGACATTAGCAGCCACTGCATCCTACCTGATCAGAAAAACCGAGGGCAGCAATGGAGCTTCTGCTTGAAGCTTTGTGTCCTGATGTTAGTCATGGTGACTTGAGCAAAACAGCGGTCACCATTTCCCTCCCTCCTCCCCGGGAAGCTTGTCAAAACTAGGGATGTAATAGTGTACTCAATTAACCAATTAGCAAAAGCTTATAGGTTAATGTAGGGATGGGCAAAAGGAGACCTGATGCACTCCTCACCCAAGCTCTGATTGGCCTGGGAGCAGGGAGAGCACACAGCTCTCCCACCCCTTGAGCAAAACAGCGGTCACCATTTCCCTCCCTCCTCCCCGGGAAGCTTGTCAAAACTAGGGATGTAATAGTGTACTCAATTAACCAATTAGCAAAAGCTTATAGGTTAATGTAGGGATGGGCAAAAGGAGACCTGATGCACTCCTCACCCAAGCTCTGATTGGCCTGGGAGCAGGGAGAGCACACAGCTCTCCCACCCTTGGGGGCCCAAGGGGCTCTCCCATCCCCAAACCAATCATAGTCTGAGGGTGGGGAACCTGGAAGTATCTTGGTCCCATCCCTTCCACTTGAGGCTCTGCCCCTTCTGGTGTAGCCTGGGGCCACTTCAAAAGTTTCTGAAGTGGCCCCTGACAAAAGTTTCCTACCCCTGGATTAATGCTATGGACTACATGTCCTGACCTTTTTACAGTACTTTTTTTAGCAGGCAAGCTAGCATCCCAACTATGTGCTGACTTGCACCAGGTGTGGGACCTATCCCTGCTGTGGCTCTGCTGTTAAAGTGCCTTAGGAGCCAGGCAGTCCAGCTCAATTCCAGCTCCTGTAGGGTCTGGGAATTCAGCCCTGCCCCGCCCCGCCAACAGGGGCTGCTGCCACCCCACGCTGTGCAGTGCCAGTGCTTGAGGGGAACTGGTTTTTAAACTGGCTCCCCTCATGGATCAGCTCCTGCCTGGCAACCCATGCTGCAGCCATGCTGCAGCCTCGGATACACAGGTAGCTGCACAGAGTGGTAGGGGGCTCCTGAGGATTGGGGATGGGGTGCACTGGGCTGCCAGCCTCATCCCTGTGGACTATAGAATCAATCAGGTTAATCAACTATTCAATTAACAGATATTTAACATCCCTAGTATAGTCAGAACTCCAGTACCACATCACACTGCAGGACTAGGACCAAAGAAAAGATGAGCACCCCCAGGCTGCCAGTTAATTAACCTGGTATTCAATCCAAACTCACCATATGACCCAGAATTAAGGTGTTGAAGTTTACATGGGGGTTGTGGAGAATTCTGTTCCTAGATAAAATTCAGTCCCTTCCTATATGTTCAGTAGGAAGCCCAATTCTAGAGGTACTCTTTCCAATTTTGAAATTGTCATTATATTTAGTTAATACAAGGTTAATAACTGGAGTTATTTCTACAAGCAGAATACTCTTAAAGCAAGGGCTATAATTCAGTCTTAAGCAATGCTACGTTCTTGGAATGCCCCAGAGCATATAGCCGAGCACGCATTCATGGAAAATGCATCTTCAAAAGAATGAACTTAGACATGGTGAGCTGGAGATGAGAGCCTTAAGTGGGAAGGGAGAAGATGCATTTATATCACCTATGTCCACACAAGCTGCTGTAAAAAATGATTAATATATGAGGAACTAACCTGTAAGTAAAGCACAGAAGAGTTGACTGCTAAACAGAATGGACAGAATTTGAGTGGATGAAAACCAAATCTTGTTTTAGATATAAATACTAGAATGAATCTTATCCCATCACCAGATTTCATAATCTACTGAATTTTATATAGTTAAATTTCTGTTCTGTAGTAAAATTTCAATTTTTACTTTTCCACATATGCATAGGTGTGGTATTTTTACTCCACTTAGTTACCAGATTCAAGATTAGAGGTAAAATTGTTAGAGTTATGAATTTATAACTATTGCCCTTTACCTTGAGGTTGATCTCTCTGCATTGCAGATGCATTTCTTCTGTTAATATTCTTAGAAGTCTGGTCTTCTCCAAAGCGGCTATTAAATTGGCCTTCCAATGGCCCGTACATCCTCTGTAAAGGCTCAACATAGTTGTCTGACTTCAGAATGTTTCTGATTGTTTGAAAGGCACACAGATTTGCAGCATCAGCCTCATAGTTATGTGACATTGCTTGACTAGCTCTCTTTTCTTTCACCTTTCCACAAACTTGAGGGTGCTCTTTCAAATCTTTTACCATTACATGGTGACCGCATTCGCTACATGTTTCAGTCCTAGTTCCACAGTAATCCTCATGATCCTGAAGTTTATTGAATGCAAGTTCTATCTCACAATGTTGACACATTACAAGACGCAGAGGGCATGCTGATGCCTAAAATGTAAAATTGAATAACTTAATATAATCAGTTGTACAGTTACGCTGAACTGGCCTTTTTTGGCAAACATCTTCGTAACATTATGCTTTAAAATACTGGTCACCAACTGGTAGATTCTGATCACCAGTAGATCTTGGAGCCTCTGACAGGTGATCCTGACTGGTTTGGCCAGGAAGCTATCAAGCACTGGCACTTCAGTTGCCCCTACACCCACTGTCATGCTGCTTCTGCCTTGGAGTTGCCCCTTTGGGAGCATCCTGCTTGCTGTGCAGCATGTGGGAAGGAGGAGAGGAGGAGGAGGATGATGTCAGGGTGCCTCTCCTCCCCTATTACTATATCCTGCCTCCACATAGGGAGAAGGGGATGGAGGGAGCTTGGCAATGCAAATCTGTCATTCACACTGTATCTATTGTTCTCAAACACACTAGGGATGTTAAATATCGGTTAATTGAATGGCTGATTAACCTCATGAATTCTTATCCATTAGTTGACTATTCTATTGTCCCTGGGCAGCCCCTGTTTGGGGGGGAGGGGTGGCGCGAAAGGGGAGAAGGGAGGTCTGAGCTCCCAGACACAGCATGAGCCAGGCTGTCTGTCCGCCTGGTTCCTAATACACTTTAAATGCAGAGTTGCAGTGGAGGTAGGTCTAGGACCCAGTGCAAGTTGGGACTGAGCTGGGCTGACCAGCCTGCTAAAAACTTTATTAGCAAGGGGTGGCAGGCGGGGAATGTGTATAGTCCATAGTATTAACCTATAAGCTTTTACTTATCAGTTAATTGACTATACGATTAGATCCTTAAAAACACTGTTCTTCACTCATCTCTAAACCCAACACATACATGGAGGGTTATTGTTATTTTTACAGCTTGCAAAGTGGGTTATTTTTGGTTTGACTGGTCTGTGCATTTCATAGTTTTTATTTTTTAAAGAATTAAATTTAAGCATGAGTAGTGAGTTCCAAAATCCCTAACTTGTTGTGACTGGAGTAGTTATCCTTGTGATAATTATTGCTCCTGGAAGTGGTTGGCACGTCCTTGCAGCCCTTAAGAAAGGCAGAGCAGGGAGTCTCCACATGCTGTCTTTGCCTGCAAACACCACCCCTGCAGCTCCCATTGATCAATAGAGAACTGTGCCCAGCAGAAGCTGTAGGCTCAGTCCTGTAGAGGAAGGGCAGCACATGGTGCCAGGGAGCCAGCACATGGAGTTCCCCTGCACCCAAATTCCTTCCTAGAGCTTACACCCTGGACTCCCTCCTAAACCCCAATTCTGCTCCCATGCTCCAAACTCCTTGGCCCAAGCCCAGAACCTGCATCCCAATCCCCTACCCCAGCTTGGTTAAAGTGAATGTGGTTCAGGGAGGAAGGCCTCAGAAGGTATGGAAAGGAAGCCAGGCAAGGTTTGAGGTAGATCGTACATTGCACTTAAATTGAAAAGGTGATATTTTGGTTAAAAAGGTTGGAGACCACTGCGTTAAAAGCTTCAGGGAGAAGCCAAGTTAGTTTGTAATTGGGAGGAAAAAAAAAAAACACAACTTAGTCTAAGGTGCTACAAGACTAACAAAACATTAGATGGTATCATGAGCTGTTGTGGGCACAACCCACTTCTTTAGTGGAACCCCATGAAAGCTCATGATACTGTGTATATCTACACAGGAATTTGTATTGTATGTCTTAAGTGTGGCACACTGGAAGTTCAGTGTATTTTATATAGAAAAAGGAAAAATTTAGACAAACTTCAAAGTAACATCCCTAAAAACTAAACACTCAGTACATTTCTTTAGTTTTAGACTTAACCATCCCGACTGGTCTGCAACAGGACATCACAGGATCAATGCTCCATGCTTTAAAATAAACTATTTGGTCCAATTCCCTGTGTGTCCCTCTCCATGCAATAGCTTTGCATTTGATGCTTATACTGAAGCCAAAGCCCATTTTCCTTTGTCAGTAGAAAAGAATGTCAAGGTTAACTCCAGTGAATTTGTAAATAAGAAAAAAATCATAGGGAATTAGTGTTCCATGATTGTTTTAAATCTGTTAGACAAAATAAATCCTTAGGTCTTACATAAAAGTTGATGTGCAAAAAGGAAATGAAGTCAAGATACTGAAAGATGAAGTTGCTAAGTTCAATGCTATTATAGACACAGGCAGAATTTTTACTTACCTACTATTTAGGGACAAATCTAGGCTACCAACATACACAGATTCCCTCCTGTTGAGGAGCTTGTAGCTGCTTAATAGGCATGGGACTACCACTACTTCAGACACGCTGCCTCTCACAAAAGTGTTAGTGATTAGCATGGATTTAGAAAGCAGATTAAACATGTGCTGAGCTGACCAGAAATCAGTTAACATGGTAGCTATTATCTGATTAACAGTAAGGTTCTAGTATCAGTACATTTCCAGTTCTGATGTACTGGAAGACACGCAGCATACCAACCTTATGATCCTCTAGGTGACTTTTTTCCATCTTCATATTACACTTACAGGTAACCTAGAAAAGACCAATTATTAAATGCACTGCATGAAGATCAGCTATTTTAGAGCAGAATTCATTTTAGAGTAGAATTAATTTATTACCTGCACATGTTCAGATTCAATGTGGATTTTCATTTCAGATTTAGGCACAGACTCCTTGCAGAAACAACACAGGCTAATATTTCTATTACAGTGGACCTCATGGATGGTGAAGTTAGTTACAAGAATATCCTTTTTGCTATGAGAAATAAAAAAGAGTTACTCTTTACAAGTTAAATCTTAAATCTGTTTGAATTGATTTTCAGTGTAAGAAAACTGCCAGGATGGCAATACTAAAAGCAAAAGAGCCTTTTAGGAACACTGCATGTATGAAACTGAACACATGGAAAAGAGGCTATCCAGGACTACATGCTGCATACAGTCAGAGTACACAAACTCACCAAACTGGATACCCAGTATCTCTCAATTCAGTCAAAACTCTTCAATTCCACGGTTAGAGAAAACAGGCAAGCCATGCAGCATACTCAGGGAGTCAAATGCAGGCCATCAGACCAGGACTGACAAAGTTAAAAAATGTTTTGCAAAGAACACTACCATAGTGTAAGAGTCAGGCAATCCTTTCTTGGCAAAACTAGACAGATTCTTAAGCCACACTGCAGAACTACTCAAAGGTTCAACCAATAAAAAATGCAATATCCCTGCTGTACTGCAGTGAGGAATCCCTACCTTAGTCTACTTTGGAGAAATCTACTGCTATGTGTACAGTTGTACAGACAGCCTTACAGGTCAGAAAAATTCGTTTAGACATTTGAGAAGTGTCACCTGAGACTGGTGGGCTGATGCCAAACTGTGCTTAAGGGGAAAAAAGCCTGGGCCCTAGAGGAAAAGGAGACCAGAAGAGTCAGGTAGGAAAGGAACAGAAAAAACAAAGGTGGAACTCGGAGAAGCAGACAGCTGTACAACTGCTAGAGAGACAGGTGAGAAGCCAGGAGGTCTGGTTAGTAGGAAGAGGACTCTAGACCCAGGGGAAAACTAAGAGAAACACCCCTATCCCGTACAAGGAATAAGGAGCTGGGAAAAGCCCAAAAGAATTGAAACTCTTCTAGTAAGCCTCCATGTGCATTGCTTTATTGCTTTACTTGGGCCCATGAACTTTAATATGGGACTACAGGGAATGAACTTAAGCCTTTCAGAGTGGAGGGCTCTTGAGACTCTAGGAGCATGGAATCACAGCAGATACCAAAACCTTTTGCACTATGTTATTGAAGTTTGTTATATTAACATGGGCACCTTTGATAAGTTACTACTATGTAGTATGATAAGCTTAAGACTGCTGCTTGCAAGGCTACCCCATGCCATAAAAGCAAAGATGGTCACCCAAGTGAAAGCCAAGTACTTGGTGCTCTCCCATTCTCTATCAAACCTGATGGGAGAAGTAAAATAAGTCAAATTTCATCTTTCACTTAAAGGAAACAACGTTCACAAACATAGAAGTGAATGTCAGCCTCAATAAGACAGTTATTTACCTTCCCTGACAAGACAAAAGGAGCCCCTACAAGAACTATAGCAATAATCCTTCATTCTCAGCCCATCTGCTCTTAAGAACCCAGTAGGCTGGAACATCATCAGAATGATATTCTGTATCTATGATAATACACACCCATAATAAGCCACAAAAATTCAATCCCTTATACTTTAAGTTTCTTGAAACTGATTTTAAAGAAACAGATCTTTAAAAAGTGCTCTGAGAACTGGTAGTTCTCATTGATTTCTGTTTCTTCAGTGGAGTTGGGGAGAAGAGACCACTAATATTATGCTTTTCTGAAAGTGACAGCACATTCCAAATAGCAGTGAAGTACCTATCACTGTTACTTTACTCCTGCCAGCAGTGCCTTCCAACTCAGACCTGCTGGAACAGAGCTTTGAAACAGATACTAACCAGTGGACCTTGTTTGTTAAGATCAAATACACATTACCCCCCAAATAAATATATATTTCCATATATTTGGACAAGACATCAGAACCAAAGCAGTTAAGTTTCCATCTACACCACTTTATAGAATGTCACTTCTTGAAAAAAAAATATTTCAAACAAAACATCTGCTTCACCCAAATATTTTCTATATGTGTTTCCTATTTGTGGTCATTAGAAACAAGTTTACATATTACTTGCTGCATCCATCTCTGAAGATATCTTCCAGAAGTATATTTCTACAAGTTTACACAGGGTAACACACTTGTTCCACTAATGGCAGACATTTGTTTCTTACCAGTTGCTGCACAGTTGTGTTTTCTGTTCATTTGCTGCAGCCATATCCATGTTCTCTTGAAAGCTATGGCAAGGGACAATTAAATATTTTCAGTTTCATTTCTGGTGGTAAGACCGATGTAATTATTCATTCAGCTACTTCCTGGTTTCACATCACTTGCATTATATTGCATATTCCAGATCATTGCTTCAGTCAGTCAACAAGACTCCCACATCATTTAGAAACAATTGTAAGATTAAGCAAGCTTATTTTTAAGAGCATAAGGAACCTTAGCTAACTGATGAGAAGTTTTTCAGATGCTTTTCCTTGAGATATGTACAGTTTCTTCTTAAGAGAGATATATACACAAATAAAATATTAGCTCTAACTACAGACTCTTTACAGACAGTAAAGCATAATCTAACCGTTTATGCAGTAAGACCGATAATTACGAGGCCACTCAACGAGTATCGTAAAACAAGCCTTAACATAAATAGCTGAAAATTCTACTAGGAGACTGGACGCCTGCCCCAGCTGATCACACTTATTTGATGCCAAAACCAAGGTTTAAAACAAACCATAGAATAGCTGCCATTATTGCCAAGCGTAGATCCCCCCCCACCCCATAAGAGCCATTTCTAGCCAGAACACTGCTCCGGATTCCCGGTTGCCCTAGATACCGGTGAAATAGGTGGGGGGGGGGGGGGGGTCCCACCT